TACTTTATTGTCGATGTCGGTGTAATTGAAATTTGGATCATTTGTTAAAAGCTTCTCCACTTTGCGATCGAGTAAATGGCTCAACTCTTCAAACAAACCAGTTGTCAAGTGATCCAATGTAGTAGCAGGGTAGAGGCGGGTCCAATTTCCACACGCAAATTTGTAGAAGTCATCACATGGATTAATTTTCGTATCCATATTGTTTAATATTGAATTGGTCTTTGCTGTTCGCATTATATCGATTTCCGATTTCGATGGATTCGAGGGAATTTTTTTATCTCGATTCGCTATTAACGGTGTAGCTAAGGTGTGTGCGCATGCCAAAATCACACAAATTATGTGCAACGAATACTTTACTAGACATTTCATTTCGGAGAGCAGACGCGTTGTTATACAGTCGAAAAACAAATTGCAACTGTTTTGTTGAGATCGCCACAGTCATCCCAGTTTTCATGTCTTCATCTGGGGTATGGATGCATACATACACGAGCATTCATACATACTTAGATTTTATGACGTGACTAGAGTATGACTCTGGGGTTATCGGCTTGGCATTGTACGACTCATTTAAGAACATACACCCCTACACACACATATGTATATGTGTATTTGTATACAAATGTGAAGACAGTATGCACTATACATACATACATACTATATTTACTCGTACAAATATAAACGGCTCGCAAAATCGTAATTATGAATTACTAATAATGAATAATATACATACATATGTATGTGGAACACGAAGCAGTGGATGATATCTTTATTTCGAACGCACATACTTTTACAATGACCACTACTAAGAATTATAGTGGTTTTTGATATAAGAATTACATATAATTCTGCAAGTGATTCCACTGCACACTGTAACCTCCGTTTAAAGGGCTTTGAGCATTTTTTCATGCAGAAATATTGAAGCTTAAGTCGGTAGCAGAGCTTCTCAAAGAACGTCTTGAGAAAAAAACACTTTGCGGTATTCACTATAACTGGGCTGGAAATTATCCGAAAATAAAATACCAAGAAAAATTAGTCAAACTATAATCAAATCCTCCCCTAAAGTTCTGTGATAATTTTTTTTTTATCACATTCACAAAAAACTCTTTTTTTTTACCATGACATTCTGATTAATGGTCCACCAAATCCACCGATCCGAACGTATCAACCACCATCAGGTGTCGAAAAGCATTGACTGGAATAAAACGAAGTTATTTGGTCCTAAGTCGGGACTATACGGTGGATGACTGATCAAAATGATGGTTTAAGCGCCAAATTGCAATACCAGGCTTGTCAAATTCCGAAATATGAAGGGCAATGTACGTATACATACATCCACGTCGGACAAAACTCATTGGACTAATTCGAGTCTCACATATATTCCGTCATAAATTTTGAAATAGATGCATAAGAAGAATAATTTCTTTGGAAAAGAAGAGACAGGTGTAAAAAAATGGCGCATCCTGGTGACATTGATCCTGACTCTCCTGGTGGTCTGAAAAAAAAATTAAAAGAAATTCTTAATCACTAAGGATGCTGTTATAGTTCCTACCTCAGGGAACACGCAAAAAAATTTTTTTCAAAAATGGCGACTCATTTTTTACGCTTTTTTTTTTGAAATTTCTGAATTTTTTTTAAATATTAAAAACAAAAATTTTGACACGATGCTGGTAGGAATGATAAAGGATTATATAAAGAAGGTTCACACAAAATTTCAAGTAAATCGGTTGTATAGAACTTGAGATAATGCCGGTACCGTGTGGAAAAAAGTAGTTTCGAGAAAAACGCGTGAGTCAAATTTCAGGCAGTCTCAGTCATTTATTAGTGCGCTAGGTACTGAGTCACTAAAGTAACTGTAGCTCTTAAAATAATTTTAATTTTTAAAAATCCTTTGGAGGATATGTTCTTAAGGGTTTAACTTTAAATATATGAAAAACATCGTAATCGTCAAATTTCTAGAGTAGAATACCCCCTTAATTTGCATTATATGGCGGGAAAAGAATTTTGCAAGTACTTATAATTATAAATCGTATATCACACTTCTTCGAATTTTTTATTTTAATGAGAACAGGTGTGTTGCGAAATATATAAACTTTTCCTGAATTCATTCAACTGAACTTAAATTATTAATTTTAAGTGAATTCGCAAAGAATGTGCGGTAAAGGAGATTTGCAAAAATTATTCTCTGGAGAATGGCCAAATAGTATATTTCAACTCAAAGAATACAGTACAGCCAATGAAAACACCGCCAGCAACAAAATTAGCAACATTGCTCTATTCGGAAATACCTCGACATTATACATGGAATGCATCGCCGAAGAAATAGTTACGCAGAAAGGAAGGCAAAGCAGTAGATTGACATCCAGGTGTGTTCTCA